GAGAAGCCCAGCTACCTGCCTTCACTGAATATACCTCAGGCTGAGATTTGGGGTGGGACAGCAGGGCAGTTGATCTTCTGCAGGAAGGTACAGCTTCTCCACATCAGCGCGGCCATACCACCATTCTGGTCTTAAGGGACTGCACACCTGGACTCTGGGGTGTTTCAGCTCTCAGTTTTTTAGGGAAAGGGTTATTCTACCAACAAACTCATCCTTTGGGAAGAACAGCAGTCCCAGGAATTAATACAGAATGTGCACACTAGTGAATCTTTTTCTAACAGTGAATATGGAGATAGCAGAAGCTGGTGTGATTTCTGGTGGTTCTTCCAATCATACTGACTTCAAGTTGACAAGTGAGGGGAGGGTTTCCTGGACCAAAAGCTGAGGCTTGCCCATCTAGCATTCCTTCCAAGCAGACTTGTCTCCTTGCAGCATTCCAATACGTTGCATTCCATCCTGAGTCCACATCAACCATGACACACTAGGTTCTTGGGTCCCAACTGCAGTCATACTTCCCTGGGTCTTGTGCCCTTTGTTTCCTCTGATATCCCTGCCTACCACCTTCCTACAGAGGTGATTTTTAAGAATAAGAAAAAGGACTCTGGGTGCTGGTGGTTCACACCTGTAATCCTCGTTACTCAGGAGGCTGGGATCTGAGGATCATGGTTAGATGTTAGCCTGGACAGGAAATCCAAAAGACTCTTTTATCTCCAATAAACTACCCTTAAAAAAGCTGGAAGTGGAACTCTAGCTCAAATGGTAGAATGCTAACCTTGAGCAAAAAATTCAGGCACAGCACCCTGGCCCTGAGTTAAAGCCCCCAGAACCAGCAGGAAACTAGAATAACAAAACATGCCATTCCAAGAATCATGTTTCTCCCTTCCTGGTAGATGCCTGCCATCTGTCCTTGTGGCTGCCGATTATGCTCAACAGTTTAGGGCTTTGGTCTAGGCACCTGAACAGAGGACTAAAAACCTCCACTGCAGGCTGGTTTAGGTGTTGATGTAAGAATCTTGCACAGCACTGCAAGTGTAAATTTCAGTTTTCCCCTCTTGAACACTTAACAAAATATGCAATTTTTTTTTTTTGGTGGGAAGAGAGATTGTCCTGTGACTTCTACCCATTTCCTAAGGCCTGTGGAAATAAACCTTTATGTACTTAAAGTTATACAGAAAATAGAATAAAGTTAATACCAAACTTGCCTATTACTTATGATATTTACTGTACAGACATGTGGAGCTACTGAAAAGAAAATAACACTAAAAATCAGAAAGTACTCTTTATTTTCAGCCTCATAAAATTATTTTCACACACTCTATTTGTTGCCCGTAAGCCTTATCTTTTAGCTGAAGAATAAGGCTTGAAAGAGGAAAAGGAAAAATGATAAAGGGTAAACTGTAACACTAACAAGGTACTTCCATGCTCAAATATGTAAGAAACAGGGTCAGGCATGGTGCCATAAAATTATAATCTTAGCCACTTGGAAGTAAGGGAAGGATGATTACATGTTTGTAGCCTCCCCTGGTAGTCAGATCCCTGTCTCAAAAACAAAAGGTCTGCTGGCAGATGAAATGGTAGTATTTGCCTAGCAAGTGCAAGATCCTGAGTTCAGTCCTCCATTCCAAAACCCAAAAACATGAAATTGCAGATTGAGTTAATTTTCTTTACTGTGAAGAATGCTTAAAGTCCTTAGTCTAATGTGGATTGGAGTGATCTCCAGGAGGAGGAAAGTAGACAATGTACTCAATTTTCTTTTTAAGCAATCTTACAGAATGTATGAACAGGAGTTCGGTGTACACGTAATTAAGATTCTGGGGGGCCGGGCACTGGTGACTCACGCCTGCAATCCTAGCTACTCAGAAGGCTGAGATCTAAGGATCATGGTTCAAAGCCAGCCCAGGCAGGAAAATTGGTAAGTCTCCTATCTCCAATTAACCACCAGAAAACTGGAAATGGCATTGTGGCTCAGTGAGAACACTAGCCTGAGCTGAAGAGCTGAGGGACAGCACTCAGGCTCAGAGTTCAAGACCCATGACCAACCAGAGAAAAAAGATTCTGGGGGGCTAGAAGTTAAGCCTGGTTTCTTCACATTCTTCCTTACATTTTCTTCTAAAGCCAGCAATGGAGTGTTGGCACCCAAGCCACTTGTATTAAGTGGAAAGAGCTAGCTGCCTCATTTTTACTTCTACTCCCATTATTATTCTCCCCATCCCCACTGCCCTAAGTTATCCAAGATGTACCTTTCGTGAGCAACCTAGTGTGGTGCTACTTCCCTCATTTTGTGACAGAAAAGGACTAATTAATTCATCACCAGAGGAGACAAGGAATTCTACAGAGGCAAGATAGTAGGCCGGTGCAATCTAATAATTGCTAAAGTTCCACAAGAAGGTAATATAGTCAGAGAGGAAAGCAACCTTAAGAAATGATGCAAAAACACCCTCCAAGCAGTATTTTCTCAAACTATTTGCACCAGCAACACAGAATTTATATGAGTGCCTTAAGCCTAGATTTGCTTGACAGGTTTGCTTGAAATGTGTCCTCAATCTATTTGCTGCTTTAGATCAGTCTCCTCTGGGCCTGGACATTTCCTAAGACTTGAGTTTGACCACATCACAAGGTTGTAAAACAATCTCCTGGTTATTAGCTAATTAAACTTGAATTCAACACCATATGGTGATAGGAGGCAGCAAAGGATAAGATTCAGATCTTAGATCTTTCCAAGTAGGGCATGTTAGATGATAACAGGAGAGAAGGATTAGTTGCATATTGGATCATAGCTCGATCCGGCATGAAGAAAATTATCTTCTACTTCGTTTGGAAGAGCTAGGGGTTCCCAAGCTCTGTTGCAAACTGCAAGTGCTTCATTTAAGAAAGGGGATGATGTTGGCATTAAACCATTCTTCAGAGAATTGAAGATGGTCCCCTTCTACAGCCAGAAACACTAGTCGTCCTTCTTTGTCCATTTGCTTTAGCCCCAGAAGGTCCTGTAGAAAGAAAGACTAATTACTTGAGGCTTAATGGAAGGTTTTTGAGTAAAACAGTAAAGTAATAAAATATTAGTAAGATACATCGTTAAAATGCAATTCTTCCCTTTTAAAAAATGAAATAGAAGTGCATTGTTGAAAACGCCAGTGTATCTACGAGTTAAACATATGCGCAGTTTACATTGTCCTGTATGGTTATATTGCTCCCACTGTGGTGCTGGAAATTGAACCTAGGGCCTCACAAATCCTCCTCCCAGTGCTTATATTCAGCTTTCTGCAAAGTTTCCCAGAGGTAGAGGACTACCTATACATTGGACAAGCTATAGATAAATCTGCCTTGAAACAGCAAAGTGAGACAAAGTCAAAAGACAAGGGAAAATTAGCTAATGTTTTAAGAGAAAACACCCAATCCACAGAAAGTGAATCAGTTAACTTTTTTTTTTTTTTTTTGCCAGTTGTGGGGCTTGAACTCAGGGCCTGGGCACTGTCCCTCAGCTTCTTTTGCTCAAGGCTAGCACTCTTACCACTTGAGCCACAGCACCACTTCCGGCCTTTTCTGTTTCTGTGGTACTGAGGAATCAAACTCAGGGCTTCATGCATGCTAGGCAAGCACTCTACTTCTAAGCCACATGCCCAGCTCTTGTAATCCCTAAAATTCTTAACAGAATCTAGCTTCCCTTTTTATTTTATCCAAGCTGGGACACCAAATCCAAGAGGAAAAGCTCAGATAGAAGAAAATGGTCTCAGAAACTGTGGAATATTTACTAGAATGTGATTGGTTCAGATGTAGCACTTGTGAACTTTTTTTTTTTTTTTTTTGGTCAGTCGCGGGGCTTGAACTCTGGGCCTGAGTACTGTGTCTGAGCTCTTCAGTTCAAGGCAAGCACTCTATAACTTGAGCCACAACACCACTACCGCTTTTCTAGTGGTTAATTGGAGATAAGTCTTATGGAAGTTGGGCACCAGCGGCTCACGCCTGTAATCCAAGGTACTCAGGAGGCTGAGATCTGAGGATTGCAGTTCAAAGCCGGCTCGGGCAGAAAAGTTGGTGAGACTCTTATCTCCAATAAACCACTTAGAAAACAAGAAGTGCCACTGTAGCTGAAGTGGTAGGGCACTAGCCTGGAACTGAAGGATAGCTAGATCCAGAGTTCAGGCCCCACAACCGACCCAGCAAAAAAAAGTCTCAGAGATCTCAGCCTCCTGAGTAGCTAGGATTACAGGTGTGAGCCACAGTGCCCAGTACACTTGTGCACTTTTCAGTCTACTTGCAATATAAACTCCTTAGGATGTGGCAGGCCTACAACTAGATGTGGTAAAATACTGTAACTTCTACTAAACAAAATTCACATCTCTGCTTCTGTTCAGGCTCATGTAGAAGAAGCAGAAGCTCCCCTTGTCAATGACAAATTTCTTTTTGGTGCTAGAATCTAACTCAAGGCTTTGTGCATGTTAAGCACAGAGTGTGTCACCAAGCTACCTTAATTTAAAATCAGAACCTCCACATCTGTGACTGATGTAAAGTAATCTATGTTTTCACTCATATGAAGGCTTCTTGCATTGGTAGCAAACCACAAAGGATGCCAGTTCCACAACTTTCCTTCAAAATAAAATCTTAGAGGTGATGTTTCTCTTATATTTTGCTTGTGTGTGTCAGTACTAGGGCTTGAACACAGCTTTGCTCAGCTGGCACTCTTAATACTTGAGCCACATCTCCAGTCAAAGATACAAGTCTGTAAACCAGTGCCTAAGAAATAAGTGTTAGAAGGAACAGTCTAACAAGCCTCATTTGCACCAGACTTCATTGAGTTAGATGGCTCCTAGGCACCTCGTATTGTGGGGCCTATGAAGCAGAGCTCTAACACCATAGAGCCTAGCAGCTAAACTAAGCACCTTTAGAAACCAGCAGCTGACAAACAGCACCAACCTCTCCAGAAATAGCTCTGCCTGTCAGTTACCTGTGTGTACAGAGTAGTATTCTGTAGAGGAATGATTTCCTTGGCTTGGCCACTTCTGTAAAATCCAAACCACTGGAGGAAAAGAAGAAAATGTTAAAGATACCTAGCACACAATTTGAGACTGACTACCTTCTAAGATCACCAACAAGTTGTCATAAAAGTACACACAGCTCGGCACCAGTGCTTACCACCTGTAATCCTAGGTACTCAGGAGGCTAGGAGAGAATGTCTATCTCCAACAGACCATATAAAAGCTGGAAGTGGAGCTGTGGCTCAAGTGGGAGAGTGCTAACCTTGAGCACAAAAGCTCAGGGAAAGCAGTCAGGCCCTAAGTCATGCACATGTTCATTCTCCTTTCTCTCTCTCTCTCCCCCTCCCTCCTCTCCCTCTCCCCCCCCCCCCCCCCACAAACACAAAGCAAGAAGGAAAAATAGGGGTATAGTTCAAGTCACTTCATTTTAAAAGTCATTCCTTAGGAAT